CGAAAGCTGCATATTCACTGCCATCAGTGGCCACTTGGTCGACGAGCCAACACCTGAAGACTGCCAGCAGGGTGCTGCCACGATATTGTTTGGCAAGGCGCCGGGCCTGCCACATTCGAGTAGCAATCGATGGGACAGTACCAAGGCTAGTGCGTGGTCTATTGGTTTTCGGAAAATGGACTAGACACAAGGCACGAAGGTGCTGTTCAAGGGGGTGTGTATGGTGATGCTGACACGTCTGAATCGCCTGAGTGGCATCATGTCGAAACTCAAGCCATTGAGATGTTTGCTGAATGCAGGCCTGACGAAGATGGAACCGATTAATCGGATCAGCGGTCTGGCGGTTGATCCGGGATGGGTACCATTTCGGAATACAAAGACCAAGAATAAGAAGTCTATGGTGAGGACCTGTAACCCCAAAATTCCTTTCAAAATCATGAACCACGTACGAATGCATGTTGGATCGACGCTAGGCACGGCGAATGAACATGAAATCAATCCGAGTGGCATGATCCCCATGGAGGAATGTGGGAGTCCAGGGTCCAAGGCATGGCATAGCAATCAGCTGAAGTTCCTGAACCATCTGCTGTAGTACTTGTTTGTCGGTCTGAGCAGCGCGAGGATATTTGGGGTCGGACATATGGGGAACATTGTTGCAGGGGTGAGTTGAAGTCTCCTGCAAGAAGGACAAAATGACTGTTCGGGATGTGTTGCATGCACTGTTGAATCTTCTTCCAAACCAAAGCTTGTCGCTGGCAGAGGGCCTGTGTTCCACGGCCAGGATTCCAGCTATGCTGGTAAACTGCTAGCAGGTCATACGCCTTGTGAAGATGAAGTCTCACCTGAAGTAGGCGTCCGGGGATGTGAACTGCTGTGGACAACCGTGTACAGGACACAAGTGAGGTTCTCAACATGATTAAAATGGAAGCATGCTTATCCGAACTGTGCACGAAATGCCAATTAGGTGTTGACCACTCACCACTAAATGACCATCCCGTTTCTTGCACAATCAAGCAATCATATCGACTCTGAGTGCACTAGACTTGAAGCTCAGGATACAGCAGGTTCTTGGATGCGTTCCAGCTCAGAATGTGCATATGAGACGGATCTGTCACCTGAGTCTGCGGTGCAGAGGCAGCTCGTGGCTGTTTGTGCTGCTGTTGGGTCATCCAAGCATGACGAAATCTCCATGGGACATCTTTGGGGTATATTGTGTGACCCTTGTATTGAGCGGCTCCATGGGAAAGGCAACGGTAGCAAGCTCTGACATATGCTCGCTTGACTCTTTTGATACGGGATTTGGACTGTATTGGACCGAGATCCGCTAAGGCCCAAGCCTCGTGTTACTTCGCGGCTGACATGTCAACTAGACTAAATCCTATGCCGCTCCCAATCTCCTCCGAGGCAAGGAGATTAACCCTCACGCCCAGTGCTGCTGGCTGAATCCAAGGATCGAGAATGGCAGTACTGTCCGGACTTGGGACCGGAAACCCCAGCTCGTGTAGTATGAGGAAGTAGAGGCCGAGTACGAAAACATACATGAAAGAACCAGGATGTGCAACGAGGATCGAAATGGCTGGCTCCCCGGGCTATCCGCGGCCGTCTGAGCTGGAGTGGCGCTTTCATCAAAACATATTGAACAACATTTAGAATGTTCAACACTTACAACAATAATCAATAGTTATATAAACAAACAATCAACATTATCAAAATACACGGCATTGTATTGTGAACAGCGATTCTCAAATCCTATCTTCTCAACATCTTTCTTCTCAAAACGATCTAATTCCAAAGCTTTCATTTGCAAAGCTTTCTTTTTCAAGCTACTCTTCTTTCCAAATATTGCCTTCTCTATCCTTCTCTACCTTCACTTCTCGCCCAACAAAATCGCTTCTGGGACTTATGAAACAAATCAAGTTTCCCAAGTCTTCTCAAACCTTTCTTCCGAAGAAGTCTTCTTTGTGTGTCTTACAAAGGAAGCGGTCTCATAGTGAACTCTGAAATCTTCTTTCGATTCCTGAATGCAACCTACCATCTCCATATGAGAGGCCATAGCTATTAGGTTGGAGGCTATCGCTCTTAGGTGAGAGGCCATCGCTATTAGCCGGTTCAGCCGGTCCGCCAAGTGAAAGAGACAGATCCGAACCTTTCTTCTAGAAGCTTGCGAACGGTTGATATTCAAGACGTTTTGAGCCCCTCACGCCATCCAAAGGTGAAAACCTCGGCATCTTGTTGCCGATGTCAATCTTGTGCTAGAAATATCTGGGAAATTCCTGTCACACCGAATTGCCTTTGGCAATCTGTGAGCGATCTTGCCTTAGGCAGGAGACCAAATTTTGGGTTTCTTGAGCTGGCCCTCTCGCCCAGCGCTGGCTGCAAACCACTACATACGTGAGCAGCTGGTACAAATCGGTACCGGTTTTAAACGACCTGAAGCTGCTCTCACTCGAAGCTAAACATTCCACTTCGCTCATCACCTGTTCAAGACTCGAAACAGTTCGACGAGACTGTTTGCTGCGTTCAGCGCGCCTAAGGGCCGCGAACAACAAACACGGCCATATCATCCAGTTGAACGGGAACACGAGGAATGACCTGTGCACCGATTTTGGACATGCGGAGACCTATCAACCCATCTCCATACATCGCAATCATTTCATTCCATGCTGGAGGTTTCATCGCTGAACGAGTCGCTTGGCATCGGAGTCACCACCAAGAATGGAGTTCGTGGTGCTTGAGGAGACTTGCCTAGCGAGAATCGGTAGGTTGTTGAAAACATACGTGACATATCGTGACATGTCGCATATATGACATACAAACAAAGTAGATTGAGGTCTTGACGCTGACTCAGCACTGGTGCTGACGGTGCTGACGCTTGTTTCATTAACGGAGGTGTCAGCATTGGTGCTGCTACTGGTGTTCAATTCCGGAGGCAGAGTGGTGCTTGATGTGCTTGGTGATTTACTCGAAGTGCTGCTCTGTGTACCACTCATGGAACTCCTTGGATTCAAGATGCGATGCATGCGAGCGAAAGTAAGAAATAGCTGGCTCAACCGAAGTGTATACTCTCTGGAAAAATAAATATTACTTTCGCTTGCTAAGTTCCACAGTGATGTTGAGGTGTCGCCAGATGTTGTCTCAGTCTGAAGGTATTGCACCACCACCTCTGCGGATGAGCCATCAACTGCCGATAAATTGCCCGTCACGACGGACAAACTCGGTGCACCGAGGGCGCTTGCTGCTTCTCCAAGAAAAATTGTGTTGCTTGATAAACTTGACAAGCTCAACGCTGCTGAGCCAACTCCGGAATCGTCCGATGTCATACTGAGTTCCAATGTAACTACACCAGTAGCCTCGGCCAAACGACGTCCTGCAGAGCCACCTACAACTGTAATCGCAATAGCTCCTGGAGGAAGCTGTGATGCATTTGAGACAGCTCTTGCGAGGGAATCCTCTGCTGTCAAGTCAAAGCCTCGCGTGAGTCCTTCTAAACGCAGGGTTTGCCGAAGACCCACGACATGCAACGTGCAGTCTTTTAAGGGCAAACCAGAGCCGTGCAAGTACGGTGGGGGGCCATCGTGCGATCGAGATGTGCGATATTGCCGGCAGCCTTCAGCGGAGCTGTAAACGCAGGAGCTAATCCGAAAGTGTGGCTGGATGGCCCATTCATCACCCTTCTTGCAATCCCGATGAAATGCAGACAGAAGGTCCACATCATTCTCAACATACAAGAGGTATGTAGGCGGCGCATCTACCCTTGGCACATCTTGGCACAGAATCTGAGTTTGAAATTCAGATGCGTGTCTCTATCCCACATGACACCCTGATCTAATCAAGAGTCTGATTGACAACTGAGAAGAAAGAACTGTAGTTGGAGGGAAAGGCTGCTGGAGCTCTTGCTCGAAGCTCGACAAAATATTCGTCTCCTGCCTGCCACACAAAGCACAATGTCTTTTTGAATTCTTTTCCCTTAAGTCTTCAAACATACACCGTCTTGAGCCTCGATGGATGAAGGCACTTCCCACGTGAAAGTGCCGGCTGCTGCATTTGCAAAGCCTGGCCGCAAGAAAAATCATTCGAAGGGACATGACATCACATTGACTTCGAACTGATTGATTGACGTGCAAATGGCACTGCGATGCCCAGCAGGGCGGCCTAGATGGATATCCGAGGCAGCTTCACCAGGGCAAGAGCTCCTCTGCCACAAATGGAAGTCCTTCGGAATTCGCTTCCGCTTCAAGGCTTCACGAGAACACAAAGGACGCTAGTACCAAATGCACATCGCTGCTAGTAACAAGGGCATCACTACTAGTAACTAGAAGCTACTAGTAAAGAATGCAATGCTACTAGCAACAAGGGCATTACTACTAGTAGCTAGAAACTACCAGTAACAAGTACATTGCTACCAGTAACAAGGGCATTACTACTAGTAACTAGAAGCTACTAGTAACAAGTGCAACACTACTAGTAACACGGGCATTACTACTAGTAGCTAGAAACTACTAGAAACAAGTGCATCGCTACCAGTAACAAGGGCAATACTACTAGTCACTAGAAGCTACTAGTAACAAGTGCAACACTACTAGTAACAAGTGCATTAATACTAGTAACAAGAGCATTACTACTAGTAACAGAAGCTACTAGTAACAAGTGCATCGCTACTAGTAGCAAGGTCATCACTACTAGTAACTAGAAACTACTAGTAACGAGTGCATTGCTACTACTACTACTACTACTACTACTAGCAAGAAACTACTGGTAACAAGTACATCGCTACCAGTAACAAGGGCATTACTACTAGTACTAGAAGCTACTAGAAACAAGGGCATCGGTACTAGTAACAAGTACATTACAACCAGTAGCTAGAAGCTACTAGTAACAAAGAAGAAATAAAGAAACAGTGTCTTCCGCTTCAGGCTTCAAGGCTGCGCCAGAACACAGCGTGTGTGATGCTTGACCATTCACATGTTGCTCGATTGCGGCCACAATTCTTCGATTCAAAACCCACAATGCTGTTTCAATATGTTTCAATGACTCCTCAAAAAGAGTTACTTACAAAAAGAGTCTCTTACATGTGCAGCACATACAATAATTGTTATATACATGTATGTCGCAAACTTGTCACACAGGTTTCAAACATACGCTGTTGCATTCTGTTTTTGTGAGCGGGCAAATGAAAAACCGAAGCGCACACGTCAGCGCCTCTTTCTTGAGCCAAACGTTGAACGATGCGGAATGTTCATCGCGTTTCGTCCTTTCGAAAACACGGGATGTGAAAAGGCATTTCTATGCCCGCACTCCCCCAATGATGGATAACCATCATTCCTCAGGGCATTTTCATGCCAACTTCTCAAAACTACCATCCGACTGGGAGTCTTCCTCCAGCTTCACAGCGGGTGTGGTGGGTCTTTGACCCACATAGGTTGAAATTCCCATCCATTCAGGCCAAGCGTCGGCTTCAGCAGGATGGAGTCCTTCGGTGCGAAGAGAATGCTCCCAAGCCTTCTCCACATCATCCACGGGGGCCTCACCTCGAGCTCGATGTCCCTGAAGCCGCTCTGCATAGCCGGCGCTGAGGACACCATCGGAGGAGGCAGTGCCACAGGCAGTGATTGCAGATCCATCATAGGCCACTGTGGACCCCCTCACTGTCTTCTCTCCCACAGGCAGCTCCACACTCCTTCCCCGTTCCAAAGCACGGGACCGAGTTGAAGAGGTGTTCCCATAGCCCCGGTCAGCCTGTGCAATGCTTCCCGGAGGAGGCTGCGGTCCTGGAGCCAATCCGCAATTGGGATCAAGTTGAGCCCCTTCCATAGCGCCCACGAAGCGGACATAGAAAAAAGCATACCCTATCCACTCATAGACGCCCTCAATGTCACAGTTCCTCGATGTGGTCCAATCGTCCATCAGGACCTGCCTTCGCCAGGCTTCTCGAGTGGAGCCTCGATGAAATGCAACAGTCACTCTGGTAGGTGACATCCTCGAAATCTGAAAAGGGGTGCCACGGTGCAGTGGGTGGAATGATCTCACCCTGCTCTTCTTGAGAACACGGACCCACCATTCTCCAGCACCATCGCCTGATCCCAGGCATTCCCATCGATCTGCTCCAGTAGGAGGTGTCGTGAACCTCCCGAGGACCCACGGCGTGTCTGTGCACAATCCTCGGTGTGCAATTGGCGCCTTCATGGCGCAGAGCCGCGGAGCTTGGTTCCATGGCTTCAAGGTCGATCCATCGGCCAAGGTGCCAAAGTGGCAACGGTCGTCGGCTGTCGAGCGAACGGCGTTCGAATCCTGACCTCCCCTACGTGGGCTGGGTTCATCTTCCCTCAGCCATCTTGAATCTTTCTTGACCTTCTCAGTCCTACTTGGGGTGGGTTCATCTTCCCTCACCCATCTTGACAGTTTCTTGACATGGGATGCGTTAGACCTCTTTTTCGACTGGCCTGTCGCCGTCGTGAATGCATTCAAAGCTACCGTTGCAGCCGCTACCAAACCCAGGAGCGAGGCCAACTTCACCGCTCCCCCCAAACCAGGCACAGCTGCCAGCAGGCCCAAAGATGCCATCGCAGCACAAGCTACCTTCTTGGCCCTCGACGTGCCCACCTCATTGGAGACAGATGCTGCAGCAGCACGAAGACCAACCGAACGACGAAAGGCGTCCCACGATTGAGACTGTGTGATGGACTTGGTCAAAAGGTCGGCGCACAACTCCGTGCCAGGCACATGCTCCACACTCCAGAGGTGGTGCTTGAGGCGCTCACGCAGGACATGACTCCTCAGCCGAAGATGCCGGGTGCGCCACGGACCTGACAGTGCCTGAAGGAGCTGCAAGCCCGAGAGATTCTCTCCTCTCAGGACGTACGAACCTTCACGGTCCAGGATGTTCTCCTGCAAGACATTCACAACTGCTCCAACGCTTTCCCCCAATGTGAGGCCATCAATGTAGCCGAGCAACTCACTCTCTGTGGTGCTGAGGGTTGCAAATGCCTGAGCCTTTGACTCCCAAGCCACCAAGCACCCTCCCCACATAGCCATGATTCCCTGGTGACCCCTGCCACCAGTAGGAGCAAAAGATGAATCGGTCAGCACTTCCAGACGGTTCAAGTTGTGCACCCGTCCATACTGGTCACAGCAGTCCGGGCACGGACCATACTCCAGGGCGAAGTCCAGGGTTGATGCCACATAGCCCAACACATGATCAGCAAGGATCAACACCCCCTTTGGAGACTTTGTCACTCGCGCCCCCAGGTACGACACGGCAAAGCTCAAGTCCGGCCTTGTCCTGGTAGACAGCCATAACAGTTCTCCGATCACAGTTTGGCAGCGCTTCACATCCTCCGGGTTGATGGTCTCCTCCATGTCCAACTCAATCACCTTCGGAAGTGGAGAGCTCCTCAACGGGACATCCGAGTGGCGAGCGACTATCTCCCGAGCATAGTCAGGCTGGCCAATGAGCAAGCTGCTGCCGTCCCACTTCATCTCCACTCCACAAAATTTTCGCCATTCCGATTCCACCACCCAAGTAGGAGGAGCACATTTCCAGGTGGCCGCCAACTTGGACAAAAACGCTTGTGCCACCAATCGATCACCCATCACGATGAAATCATCCACATAGGATAAGGCGAAGCCCACCGCCTTGCCCTCCTCCATGACATTCACATAGTAGTCCGTCTCCTCGCCGTCAGCAGACATCAACCTCCAGACATTAGGCTCTGGTGTGGCATGAATCCAATAATGCCTGCCGCTCTCCCACCACCTCATTCCTCGGAGCACTTCATCACGATAGGACTGCCAGTCAGCCGGGGAACTGTCCAAACCATAGACCGCAGCTTCCACGATCCACCGGGTGTCCTTGGAGAGGATTCCTGCTTCAGTCAGGATGGATGGAGGCTTGGTGACCATGAGACGCGAGGACTTTCTCGGTGCCAGGAGGAAAGCCGAGGACACGTCAGTAATGCCTATCGACCACTGCTCCTGAGCTGCCTTGCGGAGTGCACACCGCAGTGAACTTCCATCAATGCCACTTGCATACAGCTCAAAGGATTTTCCAGGCTGCCTCACTCCACCATCACCGCCTCCAGCATCATGACCACGGGAATGAGCATGGAGCTGAGCTGATGTGTCTTCGACAAGGTTCCCGCATAGGACTATGCGAGATATTTTCTTGCCATCCGGTGCCTTCACCGTGGGAACCAATTTGGAGGGAACCACCAACATCTCGTTGTAGCCCGGCTCCTCCTTCAGGTCTTGAACTTGGATAGGGCGCACTGCCCTGGTGGTTTTCTCAAGAGAGTTCACCTCATACTCGAGCGACGGAATCCAGTCCTTCAGTTCTCGTCGAACTTGTGCGAGTGGGACAGTATACGTCTGAAGGACGGCATGCACCCCCAGACGATCATCCGACCCCTCCTTCACCTCCAAGTGCTGTCCAGCGGTCATCGAAGCCAACTGGTGAGTCACAGCACAATCTCGAATCTCCGTGAGGTCCTCCTCCAAGGCCTGGACATTCTTTTCCAAGTAGTCCATCATAGCTCCTTGCAGTTGACCCTCCACATCGCCAACCGCCACCTCCTTCAACATGTCGCGCCAGAGCTGTTTCCAGCCCCAATGCTCTTCTTCCAACCTTTGAGTCAACTTCAGGGCCTTCTGCATGTCATACTCCATGGTCCCATCGATTGGTGGTTCACCAGGTTCATCCATTGGAGTCTCACAGAATTCACATTGTCGAGGGAGTTCAAGGCGTTTGAACGACGGCTGCGCCATTTGCAGTCCACACTCCTTGCAAACCAATGCCCTTCCTCCACCATTGACCTTCACATGCGCCCCTAGTGGCATAGAAAGCTGCAAAGACTCCCCCCCAGTCCGACCTTGGTGTAGGACTGGCTCTCCAGCTGAGTTGCACCTGACGGTGTATAGTCCAGGATCATCAGAAAGCCGCGGTGGGGGAAGTTGAGGAAGCATCGGTTCCATTGGCTGCTTACCCACCATTCGTTTTTGAGGTCGTTCTGGATCCTGGACAGCTTGCAGTTCAAGAACAGCCCGTTCAGCAGTTGGATCCGTCTGGACCGCCACCCGAGCATGTTGCACATGACCGCTGTCAAAAAGCACATAGCCCTGAGACATAAATGGTGAGGGACCCATCAAAGTCATAGTGCGAAAGGGCGGTGTCAAAGGTCCAAACCCTGCTCTATGCCAGCGCTTGGTCTTCACTGTAACCCTCCCCCCAATCGGCAGCAACGGGGCACTAGGAACACCGAGATGAGCACATTGGCGCCTCAGCCTCTCCTCTCCAACATAGCGTGCAATGCCCGGCCACCACCTTTCTTCCAGGCCACTTTCCTTGATGAGCAACCTGAGTCGTCTCTTCACCTGGTGCACCTCCGCCTCAATGCGGCCATTTGAAGGTCCTTCATCTCCTCCTGTCATAGTTTGGTGCATTCCAAAACGTCGGCAGAATGCTTGGAAACTCCTGGACAGGAAAGCACACTCTCTGTCTGTATGAACTCTAAGCATCTTCACGCCCATCGCCTTGAAGCGGCAGTAGATGCGAGTTGCCACCTTGGTGACATCAACCTGTGACCGGCTTTCAAGCGGCTCCACCACGGTGACATTCTGAACTCCAACTGGTGCGCTCAGGTCCTTGATGTGTTCCTTCCAGGCAGCGTTGAGGTTCTCCACCTGCTCATCCAACACCTCCGCCTGCTCCGGATCATCGTCTTCCTGTGCACCTTCTCCATCTCCAATAGGAAGAAGTTCACCCTCCTCCCCATCCAATTCCTCCATCTCCTTGAGCTCTTCATGCTCTCGAGGCAATCGTGGAATGGCCACAGTCGCCACCATCATGTACTTGGCTTTCGAACCAAGACCCAAATCATCTCCAACCGGCATTGGTCCCACAATGTCATACGACAAGCAGTGAGCTGCCCTGTCCCCCATAGTTCGTCGATGTGGAACGTCGGAGCCCATCATCTCCATGCATCGGCGGCAGTCCCTGCGAAAAGGCTGCTGTTGGTTCCTCACATGAGCCTTCCATCCTTCCATGTCCAAGCGGCATACTGCTGCTTCTCGATTTTGTGGACCACCTCCTTGAGCATCCAGTCGCTGCACATATCTCTTCAGACTCTCTTGGATAGCAGCTACCAGCCCAGGGGCCCATGCCGACCATCCTCTCGATTGGATGAGTCGTCCTTGTAGTGAACCTGCAACTTCCTGACCGGTGCCATCCCCCGAAATGCCTTGAAGCTCGAGCATATCCGGCAAGTTGGCCACCATCAATGTTGTAGGCTTCCGCTTGATATGACCAATCGGTCCTTGATCCAGGGTGACAAAGCTGGCTTTCATGAGTTGTGCTAGGTCATTCACCTCACGGAAGTTCCAGTACGATGCCATGTCCTGCTCCAGTGCCTCCTGCTGCATGTAGGAGACCGGGTCACGAGGTGATTCCATCAGAAAGGCCGGCGGCACACGGCAGGGGTTCTCTGCATTCTCAACCTGGTTCATCGCCTCGCTAGCCATGATCCAGAGTCCTGCTTGTTTCAACAGCAGTGCCAAGTCACCGACAACAAGGTCCTTCTCCACGGATGAAAGGCCAGGTAGACCAAATCTTCGTTCATCCCTCCCCCTCACTGGGCGTGGTCCTGGGCCTCGATGACGTAGTCGTGACACACTCCGGCATGGGGGTCCTCCAAGCACCGCCACCACTTTTCCTCTTCGTGCAAGATGACAGAGGTAGCTCCAGGTGCCAATGGAGTGCATATCATATTGTGCTCCGTTGACGATGTCCACGTTGATGATCTCATAGCCATGCCAGTCCATGTTTAGCCAAGACTGGGAATCCCTCCCACTGTAGAGGTGCAGGATGACCCCTTTTGACCTGTCATGCCTCCTCCTCTGGTGCCGATTCCACGGACAAACATTGGGGTCAAATGAGGTCTGCCCCTTCATATAGGTCCAAGTTTCTTCAGGAACATCAGGAAACCTCTCAGTCCACCACGACTTGATGTCTTCATCAATCATCAACTCCCCCCGATCAGCCTTCTCCATCACGTCCAGCAATGCGAGGGCCTGACGTTCAGGTAGGACTGGACATCCACCTCTCAGGGTGCACTCAATGCGGCCATGTTCGGGATGGGAGATCTTGACACCTCCCTTTGACCAGTTCAGCCGATATCCCAATCCCACCAGTCGATGTAGCGGAACGATCACCTCCACCTTTTCCTTCGACAACAGAGTTCGATGCTCGTCGACCTTGTACAAGGTGGCCGATCCTGAAGCCAATTCTACCCGAACGGGGACCAGCTGCTACATCTCATGTGGATAGGCTTCTCTGAGCCCATTTGTTGCACCTCCGTCCAGGAGACCCACCGCCTCCTCATCAGCGCCAACCTTGTGCTTGAGCTCTTTCACCCGCAGCATCTTCATGCTCCTCAGTGTCTTGAGCAATGACGTGGCCTCCGACAACAACTCAGCGGTTGCATCCTTTGCCACAGGCTTCTCCGGGGAGTCCAGTTGTTTGGGCACTGTAGTCATAGGGACATTCACATTCTCATCAGTTGGTTCATCACCAGGAGAGCCCCCCTTGACATTCTTTTCAAGCCCATTCACCTTCTCCCCTTCCTTCACAGTCTTCACCTTGGAGACCTTCTTGGCGTCCGGCTTCACACCCTTCGGCCCATTTGGACAGTCCTTCTTCATGTGAAGTCCTCCACAATTGAAGCAGCGACCCTTCATGTCCACATTTTCATGGGCGTAGGTGCAACTGCTGCCACGCTTACAACCCTCATCACTCTTCCAGAACTTGCAGGCCAGTTTCTGCGAAGGTCGATCATCGGAGTCCACCGCCCCGAACGCTGATGCCATGGCCTTCACAGAAGTGGTCGGCTGAGTTCCTGCTGCTCCAGCATTGGTGGTCGCCGGCTGCAACTTCATAGGTGTAGTCAGCGAAACTTCTTCCACCTCCGCCTGCACATACTCCGAGAGCTCCATGACAGCTTCCACTGTAGCTGCATAATCAACTCTCAATTCTTGCCGCACGTTGGCAATTCGAAATGCCATTTGAGCTCCGCCTGATTTGGTGGCGCTCTCAATCATGCGTTGCACAGTGACCATGAGAACCACAGGGTCAGGTAGAGCAAGGTTGAGCTCTTGTGCACGCGCAAGCCATCGTCGCCACAACCGGACCTGCGTCAACAACTCCGATGTTTGAGTGGCAAACTTCGTCTCCACTAAATTTTTGAGGAGTTGCGTTTTTTCAGCGCCTCCTCCTGGCTGGTACGTCACATGCAGCTTGTACAGGATGTAGACGACCGAGAGCTGCCGTCCACTGACGAGGTCACGTCGGAGCTGATCCGGCCATGGCGATGCCACGCTGTTCAATCCTCTGTAGGGCAGGTTCCACCACCACCACCGGCTTCGCTCTCAGGCGCTCCAATGGACTCATCGTCAACCAGCGAGCATAGTGGTCCTGCGCAATGGTCAGCGATTCCTCCCACCAGGCCTTGGCACTATTTGAGATGTCAGCCATCAGCGGGAAGCTCATCGTCAGCCAGTCTCCAAACAGGATAGATGCCCCCTCGGAGTTGGGTGATGGCAAGGGAGGAAGTTCCAAGTTCCTCAGGGCTTCAGCCATTGCTGCCGGAGTCGCTGCACCACCAACACGAACGACCTTCGAACCCAGATCCGGTCCTCGGTCCTTACCACCCAGGTCACCATGATGAAGTCCAGGCGGTCGGTCAGGTCCAGCACAGGTCTCCGAGTCCACCCCTGTCTGAGGCCCACTTGAAGCAGTCTTGTAGGAGGTCGTGTCTGCAGGTTCCTTAGCAGCCAAGAGACGTTTGACCTCCCGATCAAAGTTCTCCTCCGCCTCTTTGAGGATGCGAGCTCTCAGGGCTTCCACATCCTCACGCACCGGCGATCCTGAAGCAGCTGCCGGCATAGCATTCCCATCAGCTATGACCCGCGGCACAGTTTCACCACCTGGTACTTGAAGGCGTCGAGAATCAGCTCCTCCAGATAGATCTCCACCCAAGCCCGAAGATGCCCTCCTCATCGTGTCCTGCAAAGCTGGGCTCCAAAAAGGGTTAGGCTCCTGAGGTCGCACCGGGGTTTGAGCTCCCCCGGAACCATAGTCCAGCATTCGAGGGTCAACCTGTGTCCGGCCATCTCCAAACAGCCCTCCATGAACAGGTTGATCGATGGGAGGTCCAAGAGGTCCTAATAGCCCTTGCCCTTGATGTTGCTGACCTAGTGCTTGCCGTAATACATGGTAAGTTTGTTGAACCGCATCATGAAGTGCCCCCAAGCCCCCACGAGGAAGATCATGCCCAGGGTCCACCGACAGCGGCCTAGCCGAATCCACCGGCTTCATAGACTTCAGAGATGAGGGATCCGTCGGCTCTCCCCCAGCAGCTGCAGTCCGCTCTCTCGATTCCTGTGATGAGCTTGGTCGAAGGGCCTTTGGTCGGCCTTGGGGTGTACTTGCCTCTGCCACAGATCTTCTCGGACCCGCGTCAGCCGACCTCGTTCGTCGCACCTCTTCTTCGATCAAGGCATCGAGTCTTCTGTCTGCCACCCCGATTTGCAGGGCTTCATCCTCTCGCCTTGCTGCTTCTGTTCTTCTCCTTCTCATTGTCGACAATGCCATGGCGCTCGAGTTGGGCTCATAACCTGTGAGCGGGCAAATGAAAAAACCGAAGCGCACACGTCAGCGCCTCTTTCTTGAGCCAAACGTTGAACGATGCGGAATGTTCATCGCGTTTCGTCCTTTCGAAAACACGGGATGTGAAAAGGCATTTCTATGCCCGCAGTTTTATTCGGCACTGTGCTGTTGCGCTCAGTCCAGCAGGAGGTCAATTGGGAGCCGCTCGGGATCTCCCCAGCTCAATTTGTACCGCTTGCCCTTCACCAGGATGTCTCCTACGAAACAAGTAAAAGAAAAAGTGCACATAGACTATTCAAAACCCACTAGTCCATTAGCGGTGACAACTTACACCACTTCACCACTTCTCAAACTGCAAACGACAGAACCGCTTCAGCTTTGAATGCATCAATTACTGCTTCACCAAAGGCAAGACATGCCGCACACCACTTGACCAGTGACGACGCACTATTGCGGCGGAGTCAACCTGAAACGGAGTCTTCATTTTCTTCAAACTAGAAATTAAAACACAGGAGGAAAGGTAGGGGCAACTATTAGTTGCCTTATTAAAGGGGCAACTACAACTTCTTACCGCCCTTGCGGTTTCCTTTCGATGCTGCCCTCTCCTCGTGCTGGTTTCCACACTGCTGGTGGACCCAGAAAGCTATCTGGAGGAAGACCCCTCCCGGCAGAGTTTTGAGCAACACAGGCTGGGCGGCTGCCAGCAAGCCTGTCCAAGTAAGCGTGGACCTTGGAAGACGCTGGCAGCCCGCTGGCAAAGTTTTGTGGCTCTGGGGCACCAACAGCTGCTGCTGCAGGGGATGTAGCTGTGGCAGCGTCATAGTATTCTCGGTTGCCCCACTGACCATATTTGGACCAGAAACCGGTGTCCACAAAGTACATAAAAAGAGCATCGCCAAGCTCCTCGCGCCACCAGTTGGGATGGTGGAGTCAACCGACTGCAACGCAGGGCATCGGACTGCATCAGACTGCATCATTGGGTCGGTGAACTGCATCACATGTTCTTTGTACTTGTTCGACTACAACACATTTTCCGATCTGCTCCGTCCTCTCGGAACATGTCGAGCCAGGCTTCCACTGCTCCTTGGAAGGCTGCCGAGCGACCTGTGGCCATCAGCAGCTCAGTGATTGCACCGATGGCCTCAGCTCTGTCACCAAGCACCGCCAAGTAACGCGCTTTCCGGCACTCGCTAAGCGATGCCAACAAGATCCCACAAGTGAGAAGAATGGTTTTTTAGAGGCAACATGAGCCAACCACAGACTAAAAGGATCAATCCAAAGCAAACAAGAGGATCAATTTGTACGGTCTGATTTCTTTTTGCTTGTGAACTCTGCGCATCTTGGTGCAGGAGACATGCCATGCAGATCCCTTCCTGAACTCACCATACAGCCATGCCACTTGGCCAGTTTCGATGGTCCCATCCTCCACCAGTCCGACTCCTCCTTCATAGAAAGTAATGCCTGGCAGAAAGCCGCTGGACGAAGCGGTCGAAGCAGCTTGAGCTTGTGCTCGAGCACCCGGCCTAGACCAGCTGCATCTGCAATGGCCTTCTGTTCCTTGACCCAGCTTCGTGCAGATTCTTTCCCCGAAGTGAAGAGCTCAATCACTTCGGCAGGTGTTTTCGCAGAGTAACTTTGGTCAATTCCACCTCTAGGCATGCAGCACAAGGCATCCGGCAAAAGGATATGATTCGATCATATCTGATCTCTCTCTCTCTCTATTAGGTTGGAGGCCATCATTGGAGGCCATCACTTCTACGTTGGAGGCCATTATGCTTCTACGTTGGAGGCCATCGCTAGTAGGTTGGAGGCCATCGCTAGTAGGCTCGCTCCCTCTCTCTCTTTTTACAGGACCGGCGGGTCTGCCTTGCGGAGACATGTAACCAGTAATTCCCAAGAGATCTGCACCAGCTCCGCTATTAAGAGATAGCAGGTCGTTTGTGGCATCTCCCCAAACCTCAGCTGTTCATGTCAACTGCACAGGGCCTTCGGTCGTTTCCCTTTCCAAATTTGCCGACATGGTGCAGCCTGTGTGGAAATGACAAACTTCAAGCGACTTCGGCTCCCGCTGCTCCAAACATCTGCCCAAATGTCAAAGATCTGTTTTGAACGGTAGGCCTAGGCGCAGAACGGTCCTTCAGCCCTTTCCTATCTTTGTTCATCCGTCTTTGGGGCAAGAGGCATTGTATCGAACACGGCCACAGTGAGGCGTTCTGCACGTACCATCCACTAGGCCAAGCTCAGTCCCCTAGTGCATTCGGAGCATCTGCAGAACGCAGATCAAAACAATAGACACTTCAGGAGACATTATGAGATATCATGATATCATCTGACTTTCTGAATCTATCATAAGATAGAGCAAAGAGGCCGAGAACTCTATATCTACGCATATCATTCTTTGTCAGCTATTCCTTCCTTTGGTATTAAATATGCTATGATGGACTAGAGCGGACACATCATTCAAAGGGAATCTATAGGCTTAATTTTTCGTGATTGCGGAGCCGCCTTCTGAGTAGCATAGCGACCTTGTGGGAAGAGTGGATTCCAGACCTCATTGCTGTGCTCCACGTAGACCTGAACATCAGGTCGAAGATGCTGGAGCCAAAAGCTTGCTTCTTGTCGCACATAATCATCCGAAGCGAGGTGATGAACTGTGACCTCGGGTCGCAACACCGATCCGGACTTGTCGCTGAATGCAAATGGAAGCTTAGCATGCGCTGAGCAGCCCAAGGGGATGCTCCAAGAGTGTTTACTAAAAGGACCTGGTACTCCAGTGCTACTGGACCTGCAACAAGTGCACGTGAATCTTGCAAAACCACTCGAGCTGCTTTGGCTTCAGGCGCTGAACAAAGATTGGAACACACACACAGAACCCAACCAATCGCGCCTGTTGTCTGTGACCTGTGCGATGGTAAGACTCGATCCTTAGCCAACTTGTTTCTTGTTTCTTGGAAGTGCCTGCTGTTGACGTCAAGTCAAAGCGGGTTGGTGCAAACATCTGCGCTTTTCTGCGAGGCGAGAGCCTCGGTTTGGCAAACTTTTCGACAAGGCCTTCAGATTTGGAGGTAGTTCGGTGGAGATAAAGGTTAACGACGGCGACCAGTGCTCAGCTTGGCGTTCTCGCACGTGGATAACGAAGTCCTTTCTCGGCTTCGTTCAATCGGAGATCCCACAAGGCGAAGCGGCGCCCCGTGCGTTTGATCCAAACCAGTTGGTCCGTTAAAGGATTGGTTGAACGGTCCGAATTTCGAGCTACAGCTTCGTAAACTCCAGAAACTCCCCGTGAAACGGAATGCGGGACTTTGGCTACTCGCAGCAGTCTCGGTTGATCTTGAAGTCGGGATCCGAAGTTACAAGAACCGGAAGTCTTGGGTCGCTTCTTTCTGCATCTTTCCCGAAACTGCACCAATTGAAGTCGACTGTCAGAAGCACGTGTCAACAGTGCGAAGCCAGGTGACATGGAGTGCGAAGTGTCGAAGTAGGAACTGGACTTCGATCAACTTTCTCAGCTTACATGTGCTTCCCGGAAGTTGCCGCTTGGAAGCCACTGTGGCTTGGGAAAAACGAATTGTTTGGAAGGATGATTTGGAGACATGCCTGCGGCGCAAGTCATGGCCTCAAAAGCCGTCGAAGCAATGAAGCTAAACGCATCTAAACGCTAATCTGCCTTGCCGAATTTATGCTCAGTGCTATGAGCATGCTCCGATCCCTTCAGAGTTCGACGGCCCATGCTGGCTTCTCCGGCAAACTGTGCTGTATGGTTGTCAGCATACTGCGAAACAGCAGGATAGGATCGAGGTAGAAGCGTGCCACCATGCGTCACCGATTCGCGCCGCGTGCTTGCACTCAAGTCTTACAGGGTGCTGATAAAACTCCGATCTCAAATCACATGCCAGGATTCCGCCCATTCCCAGAGTTCGTTGGCTTTGCGCAGCGGATACCAGGAGTCCTCCTGGGCTGATAAAGCCCAAAACTCTTCAAGGAGATTCATCTGTGATACTGAGCTACTGCTGCGTGTAAACAAAATGCACTGTGAGGAAAAGAAAAGGATACGTCAAGCCTCAAACCTACTAGCCATGGTCTCCAACCTACTAGCAATGGCCTCCACCCTGATAGCGATAGCCATGTAACAAGAATGCTTTTGGAGCCATGTCATGCCATGTCGCATGGCTTCCCAATTCGAGTCCTCTGGGCTACCGAAGGAAGCGATCCGTCTGCGATAGTATGTGATTGGTTGGAGCGTGCTCCGCTCATCAGCCACGGTCCATGTTTGGTTGTCTTCAGACACTTCCAGCCGCCACATCACCTCTGGTTCTCCCACACCGACCTTGCAAAGACCTTGCCTTTGCGTTTGGCCTCAAGTTCAAACAACATGTCACGCCAATTGCAGCTATATCACAGGATCTACTCGGCGGTTCCAACCAGAAGTCATCCACATGTAGCTGCTGATAGCCGAACCTGGTAAAGAGTGCAGCTGTGCAGCTACTCTGGCTTTTTTTTTGTGTGCTCTGGCTTTCTGGCTGTTTTGTGAGAGGTGTAGGCCTTCTGCAAGTTCAACGATCACGCTGTACTCAGTCGCTGCCAGAACTGGAACAGGCGCCTTTCTCGAGACAATGCCATGCCACAGCACGAATGTATTGAACATAGGATTTCCATGGTTTTACAAATTGGACATCCCAAAGTCAAACTTCCGGCTCGATCTTTTTTTGCAAATCTAATTTCCTTGCGGCTTGAAGTGTAAGCTCAAGGCCCAATCCGTGCCAGGGTCGCCATCACAAAGTTCCAGAACGCTGGACATGCAACCTGAAGTTGTTTTGATCTCAAGTTGCGAACAAGAATGACAGGTTGTTTCCGAGCTGCTCAGTAGTTCGCCCATTGATGTCTTCAGGAGAAGCTCTGACATCCTACCCATATGGCCCATCTTGTCTAAAAAGCCCAAACTGTGTACAGGCGGCAGCAAAACTGATCTCTCTTGCAACCAGAAAGTGCCTGGGTATACCGCCACCATGTGTAGCAGTAGAAGTGAAGCGCACATATCGAGCTGTGTAGGGCGTCCGTTTGATGAAGTGTTCCTCAAGGAGACCAGGCGACCGGAATTGACAAAGTACGATCTGACCAAAGCACCAAGGATCTGAATTGATGTGAGTCCAGTCCATCAAGCGTACAGTAGAGAAGCGCTCCAGGTTCTTCAGAAACCACGGATGAAACGGTTCCAACTCATGTGTCGCAAAGAAGCCTGAAAGGATCTGAAAAGGTCCACGGTGAAGCAACTTACACTGTACATGATGTATTAGCCTCACTGGCCTGGCATAATGATCCGAACGTTCCGCAACGGGTTGCTGGGGTTGACCCTTCGTATTGTGATGGCAATGCCATTATCGCTGCAGTAGGGGAGCCTCAGTGCCGGCTTCTTTCAACGGTAGACGTTCGAAGTTGAGCAAGTCGTACGATCAGAAGTCAAACACAAGTCGGCAAGCTGCCAGTTGGCTTTGTCGAACCAGCATTCGCGTCTGCATGTTGGCTGAAAGTCTACGTCAATACGGCCTGCCCAGCTGAAAGGCGAAGCAAGTTCTCTCCGAACTGAAAGGCTCGAAACAAGTTGTGTGCAAGCAAAAAAGACATTACCTCACAAATCCGTATATATAAAACGCATTGTAGCCCAAATACGCTTGCATCTTACCTGCTGTCTTCGGCACACAGGTACACACATCATCATCCTGGAGCATAGATGAGCGTAGCCTTTTTTTGAATATTTTGTGTGTGCAGTACGTGTATACTATATAGTATGCATGTAGAAGATTGTAGAAGTATACATCTGTGGGAGGGGGGCAATGGTCAAATCTTCAAAGTTGTCTAGCGCCATCTAGGGTTGACATCCGAAGGCACCTGCAAGGCCAAAGAAACATGCACACAAAAACACGCAAAGACTTTCCAACGGAAACCACATTGCAAACACTCATCACCCCAGTGCGCATTCCACACTCCCCCGAAATGAAACAGCCAATTTCGCTCCGCTTGAACTCGATCCTCGAATGTGACATGTGACTTGTGACGACAACTTGTGACTTGTGACGTGTGCGGGTTTGCGCCACCGGGGAACTTGCGCCTTTTTGAAATGCCACCGGGTTTGCGTCCATGGCAAAATCAATCTCACCATCTCCATCATAGGTCACCACGTAGCGACCATGGGGTGCATGAAGGCAAACATCTCGAAGCGCCAACGTGATCAAGGCCTGGTCCTCTCCAAGTGGAGAAACATATCACAAGATCTAGTAAATATCATGATGTATTCCTCTATATTACTCTTGTCCTTTTTCTTTATTCCGATGGAATACGGAATTAGTTCATGATTGGCTGTCCTGCTTCAAGGAAGCAACATAGCCATCAAAGGTCTCATTGATTTCCAAACCATTGCCCCACTCATATTGCCGGCTTGTCCACATCACACTTCCCCCCTGGTAGGAAAACTGCCCTGGTTGGGTGTCAGCATCCCAAATGCTGGTCCAATGGCGGGTCGTCTTCATAACATCCACAAAAGTGGAGGGTGTGGTGGCAACATTGATCCCGAAAGCCGCACCTTTGTGCGCCAGTAGATTGCCTAAGCAACATTCTCCCTTTTGACATCGTTCTCAAACACTTGTCAAAAAGAAGTCAGTGTAAATTCATACTTACTTCCATTACACGAAGAATCAACAAATGATTTTCTCTCGAGCTGCTGTCCAACGTGGAACAGTCTGTGCCATAATATCCTGCCCAGCAATGGCACTGGCCATCAATGCAAGTACCATATTGGCAAGCGGAGCATGCACTTTGACCTGAGAAGCGCCAACGATTTCTGTTTTTGCATCCATTCATCTTGGAAGAGAGTTTTCATTGTCGGCGCGCACGGCGCTGTCGGCCTGGACCAGTGCATCCCAGTGTATCCACAGTGCTGCAGTCCCACTCGCAGCCCACGGCTGATTTGCGCCAGCCTTGATCACAAATGCACTCCTTGGCAAAGCAATGCTATTGAATCTGGTTTCCCACACGCAGTCCCAAGCACATGTGGTTTAGACGGCCCTTGTGCATTCAGTCCCAAGCACGTTATTTGAATCACATTGGCCGTGATGCCCACATCCGCAGTCAATCTCACATTGGCTGCCCCTGTAGCCACGAAAGCCTCGGCACTTTGGGATGCCTTTGCACAGAATCTATTGATGCGATTATTTTCGAAAGGAGTGCTGAAATGCCATTGGCAAAGCCAAAAATTCCGAGAAAGGAGCAACTGCAAACGCTGCTGGCGATACAATGCCCACGTTGATTGCATCCATTAGGACAAGAGAATCTAGAGCACTTGCCACCGCTGTATTCTGCTCGGCAGTTGCATGCCCAGCTTCGCAAGTTGCCAATCACTTCCTCACAGCGGACATGCTACCATATGCTGCCATTCCCTGTTGCAATATACTCTATAATCATCTATAATCGCACATTGCAACCGGGCACAACCGTAATACGCCGTAAGCCTAAACCAAATCACCACTTGCCGCAAACACACCCCGTTAAACCTTGTCGATTGAGTTCGACTGGATTTTTTGGTGTTACCTCAAGTGTAGCTTGTGGCCACATCAAGCAACACGAAAAGCACCTCCAATACAGCCAAACTCATTAGGTGTAAGTGCGGGCACAAACAGAGTCGGTGAGCGCAAGAGGAAAGAAAGTTCGACTGAAAAAATAACTTCGAACTTCTGAATTCGATCCCCTTGGGGATCCGTGTAGAAATTCTTATGTTCCTCTCTGTTCCGGTCTTCCACGTCTTTTCTTTCGAACGACCTCCTCGGTTTGGCACCTCTTACTGCCTGCCTTTGCCATACCCTCCATCCCAGCTACGGGTTGAGTGTTCGAAAGAAAACAATACCAACCTTCACTCCGTTTTTTGTTTACACATTGCCAAGTTTCTGATACTTGGCAGATTCCCTGGTCGAACGTGCATCGATAGCCACAAGAGCTATAATCTGTAAATGATGCGTCTAGGCAAGTTGTTCCTGAAAACCCACGGTAACAGTAACATTGATCATCCACACCACAAAGCCCATTACCTGGTAGCGTGCACTGGACAGCAACTGACAGCAAGCAACATGTCAATGCTCTTTGTAGTCTGGGACTGGATGTGAGTAAACAACTTCCCGCCTGAGCAACCATCTGCAGCTTCACAATCCTGTCTTTCAACACTGCAAGATGGTGGCATTCCGCTAGACAAGAACTCCTGAACTGCTTGATATTTATAAGCGTCTTCTCTGGGCTGGTCCATGGCTTCAATCATTCCCCAGGAGCCATACTGTGAAGGCTTCCCGCAGCTTGCAAAATAGACCATGAGGTCCAGATCTTTGTTCAGCTCTTCCAAATAAGTACGAAGTATCTGCTTCATTCTTGGATTGCGGTGCGCTTGGATGGCAAGATCATTTGCACTTCCGTCTCCCTCTCCCGCAGGCCCAGATTCATAAGACACTAGCTTGAACTTTGTGCCTTCCAGTGCCACTTTGTGGTCACGTACCCACTGGATTGACGTGTTCACTTCTGACTCGTATGAACTCAAAACCAAATCCAAATCAGCATCTGGATTTGGAAGTAGGTTGTAGCCATTGAAGTATGGCCCCACCCCAAAGGCATCCATGTCGTTGATTCCTTCACATTGAAGCAGCTGACTCATGGCATCCCAGTTGGAAGCTTGCGTGTTGGCCACGGCGGTGACATTTCGAGAACTGCCAATAACACTCTTCGTGATTTGTGCCATCTCCCCTGACCGCTTGGCGTACCAGCAAAGTTGAGAAAGACCTTCAGCTGCACCTTGCTGTTGAGCCCACTGACCGCCGAAGAATTTGGGATGCCATGCTTCATTGCCCAACTCAATGTATATGCCAAGGTCAGGTCTCAAATTGTCCTTATTGAGTTTGCCAAAGGAAGCAGGAACCATGGACTTGTCCTTTCTAAAGTGAAACCTTAAAGAAACACAATGTACATGTGTTGTGAATATTGGAATAAGACTCTGAGACGTACTGAACAAAATTTTGAATGTAGTCATCGGTCGCATTCACTGGGACGGAAAACCATGGCTCTGCTCCAACTTCATTGGAGAGTCGAACCATATACTCAAGACTGACTCCGGGATGAGAGCCTTGAGTGTAGTAGCTTGGGGTGACTCGATCTTCCCATTCTTCAGGAGTATTGCCACTATTGGCGTGCATCCAATCCATGAAGCGAAGAACTGTGAAGTTTTCAAGACTTGCAAGGAATGCTGGGTGAAAAGGAGATGTCTCATATGTCTCTTCGAAGCCGGGAGTGACAATCCGAATGTTCCTGACGAGTCTCCGAATAACTCTCCCGCTAGATTTGAAAAAGGAACAGAGACGCATTGCTGCCAAAAATGTTTTTTCCTGCTTTTCTTTCTTTCCTTTTTGGCTCACTCTCTTCATCTCTTTTCGCTTGTCCACTCTCAAATTTGCCCAGCCTGACAGGATCGGCTTCATTCGTATCAGTGAGACGAATACCAATGCCATTGTTCAGCCCAGTTGTGAGATTCACGTAGATCTGAATGTGATTCCGAGACATTCGATGTACGCAAGTCACATCCATGCTAAAGTCAAGAATACCTTCTCCATCATAGATAACTGTGTACCATCCACCAACATAGTGCCGCTCAACATCCCGGACCTCAGAAAACCCTGATGGAGCAGCTCCATGAACGAACTCAGTCGTCAAAGTTCATAGCTTGATCATGCTTGATCTATTTGAGCTGATTGGATCTGATTTCTTTGTCCAGAAGCGTTTGGTGAAGTATCAAAACATTGAAGTGCAATGAAAAAGTCGTGGCAACTGTAGAATCTATGCCAAAGAACCGTCAAGAGTGTGGCGACTTGATTCAGTTCCAGGCGAGCAGGATATCCATCACTCCGCAGGTCTAGCTCTGTGCCTTTGGCAACGACCCGAAGGGCACACCTAGAAAGTCACTTGCAATGATGAAACCAGTTGGAGGCCATCTCTACTAGGTTGGAGGCGTCACATTCTTTGTTTAAGAAATTTATCATTGTCGTAGAGCTGGGTTCGAAACGCATACATGGTCCCCACAACGGATGCAAAACACAAAGATTCTAAAAAATCCTGTTGAGCTAGCAAATGATTGTAAATAGTCGGAAAGACAGAGACTGAATTCTCAATTTATGCTGAACATGGCAGTATGAATCTAGGCCACACCAATTGGTTGGTGTGTCGGTTTGGATGGTTTAGGTACTTCCATTTGGTCTGAACAGTCGCAGGCCATGAAAACACCGTGATTTGCACTGGGGAAGTTACTAACTGCTTAATCTTTGTTGACCATGCTTCGCTCCAGTCCTGTGTTCCAGTCATAGGATGTCAACTCTTGAGCAATCCACTCGCCGACCTCAGATTGGGCTGGAGCTTGCCCACAAGTTCGCTCTGAGATGCTCTGAGCTTCCACGCGTGCTTGAACACATCCACAAAAATCCACTCCCTGCCGATTCAAAAGTCACCGTAAAATTGCGTCATGTCCGAGTCATGTCCGCCATTCTTGCCTTGTCCAGTAACTCACACCTGAGAGTGACAGGCCAAGTCGTCTGCCGCGATGACATTCAACGGGTGCCAGAATGGAACAATCTGCTCCACTGGCCTTAGTCAACAACCGGGCACATTACCATTAGTATTACTACGAACACCTTAAAAACGAACACCAATTGAAGACAAAGAAAGGTGCACAACCTAATTGGGCTATCACACTTGCTGAAAACAATGTGAACAGCATTCTACATCATTCCACTAGATAGATATTGTATTCAGATAGTCTCCAACTGTGTACTGAGCGGCCCCCTTCCAACACTTGCAGGAGCCTAGCTCGCAAATGCCGTAAATACATCTTTGTGGGCATGAGGGTGCTGGCGGCGATGGCTTTTCAGGTGTAGCGCGACGCCCCTGGACATAGCCCGTCATTGCACGGCGGATGGGGCTATCGTCATCCCAATGAAGCATCACAGAGGCTTGGCCACAAGCCTTTCCTCCTGGCGGGAGGCCATCGCTAGTAGGTTGGAGGCCATCGCTACGTAGGTTAAAAACCACGAGGCCGCCCGTGGGCAATGCTTCCGAGCACGAGAGAGACGGCCGATTGCCCATCCTGTCCGACAAAGTCGGGCTTGTCGCACCATCTGCCCACCTGGTGGGAATGAAGAGCCAATGGGTTTTCAATAGCAAATCCCGACTCTTCGACACAAACGTACAACGTGTTGGTCAACTCGCACCCACAACTGTAGAGAAGCCGATGAGTCGCAATCGCTCTAAGTATTCCAGCATCAAATCCTCCATGACAGGGTCACGGAAGGCTTCAATCCTCATTTTCAGATGCTCTAGTGTCGAAGCACAAAGCAAACTCGTCTGCAACCGCATCTCTTGAAAGAACAGCGTCCAAGTCTCATCATGTTTTCCAACTTCTGCTCACCCTCAGCTGCTGCGATCACTGCAGGAAGGATTTCACGAAGGTCATCCAGAGTGAAGCCTTGGCAGATTGACTTCGTGGTCTGTAACTAGGTTTCAACAGCTTCCACATCCTGGACCGAGCTCCCTTCGCACTTTCCCCATTCCTCCCACTGAACCGCTTGGTCACGCCTTCTGCTGGTGGATCCCATGGCGCGGGGGTGTAAGCAATTTGGCACCTAGCATGAGAAAAACGATTCATGATACTAGTAGCCAGGCCAGCTACTAGCTATTTGCTAGTATGGCCAGCCCCTAGTAGCGTCCTTGCTCCTAGTAGCGATGCCCTTTGCTCCTAGTATCATGATTTATCTTGTAGAACGCTTCACGCGACATTCACTGGAGTATCTAAACGCTCCAAGTCACTTGTGAACACACGAAGCTCGAGCAGCCAAGTCAGCTTCCGCCGCTGTCGCAAAGCCTGCCAAGGTGCACTTCGAGAAGAATGCATTGAATATATCACTTCATCAAGGACTATCTCACGACCATCTCATGCATTCTCAAGCTATATGGTACTCGTTGTCCCCTCTTCTGATTACCACATGTTGTTGTTGTCTTCAAATTCCAAGTTTCTTTCCTTCCGTTTTCCATCAGTCATTGAGGAATTTCTGCATTTGCAACAATTGAGCTGTCTCCTCTTGTCCATTACTATGCTTTCCTTACTTTGCTTTCCCCAGAAGAGTGTTCATTGAATAGTTCCGACTCCTTGTCAGCTTCACCTAGGGGAGCTATGGCAAGTATACTTGGTGTGGAATGCAGCCCTGACAGGGTTCGCCATACCCATCCATACCCCATATTACAAACACATTCGAATTAGTAGATAGAATTAGAACGCCTTTTGGAAACAAAACGCCTTCAACACGTTTGCATCAACAAAACCAAAGTCGCCTGGAATTTCAGCGTCGGCTTTGAAGTAGGAGTCCATCCGTCCCGTTACGCATTGATTGTATGGATCACCAGGGACCGTGAAGGCCGAGCAATGTGTTGGCGGCTTTCGTTCACCAGACTGGATTCGTGTTCTTTTGAAAAAGTACGCAGCTCCAGGTGTGACGCAATCGCCATATCTAAAGTCATTCCCGACCTGAAGTGAGATATTCATGAGGAAGGAGTGAATCAGGTGTCAGAAGTGAATTGCCAACTGAGCTTCTCCGCAGCTCCATTCACCCGATTTGTAGTAAGAAAAGCCGTCACATTCTGACCTTGGTTGGTCTCCCACTCTGAATGACTTAAGAGTACCACGAAATGCGTTTGCGCCTTCAAATGCACTTTCACTGGCTCCCCACACCAATTGGTGTCAAGAATTCAGAACAGGTGCAAGTTTGTCGATTGAAACCATGTTGTTCGATGACATGTTCGACAAGTGTCTTTGATCTAAGTTAAACTCTGTTCGACATCGCTTTTCCAAATAATAACATCCAAACTCCTTGCTGTTCGGATGATTGAACCGCTTTCATTTCGACAAGGCTCATAGCTTGACAATGAGCTTTTGCTTCTGATGGTGATCCGACCAACCAGTAAGAACCTGTGTTTCGTTTCAGTCAGCAGGCTGCTATGGGCACGCAGATGCACGCAGTGGGCAGTGCGAAATGTGTTTGGGTGTGAGCTGAGTGTCCTTGGTCATCGAGTGCACGATCCTCTTCTTGAAGGCCCTGGTATGCCTTGTAGGCTTCGAAGTCCACCTACGTTGCATGCGGTTGCTATTCGGTTGGAGGCCGCTATTCGGGTGTTTGGGTCCGCCTCATGGACCCAACCATCCACAGCCAGCTGGGAGCGCTCCCTGGACAGGACTGACTTCGGTTTTGCGCTTTCTTTACCTTTCATCCTTTGAGACCGATGACCGATTCTTTTCTTTTCTCCTTCTTTTCTAGGCATGGGGTGACGGGTAGTGAAGTTCAAGCTGAAACAAAAGCTTCACAGCACCTTGCACCATAGCGCCGGCCCAAAGCTGACATGAGGCATGACTCACAGCCCAGTGCCCAGTTCAGATTGCCACGGTGCCCATAGCTTCGGGCCTGAACTGACACACATCGAGGAACACAGTGTTCAGAGTCTCATGTCTCATTTGATAGCGCTCTTGCAGAGTCTCTCCTAAGAGAGGGACTGATATGAGTGGCATAGCGTTAAATGCAATAATCCTGGCGCATGACGCACTTTGCTAAGGGGTGAGCTTCCTTGAAGAAGCGCGTAGCTTACCTCCTTGATTAAGAAATATTAAGAAGAATCTTAAAAACTCGTCAAGGGGCTCGAAACCGTAGTACAACGCTTGCTGCACTCTTGCATTAATTTCCTCAGAGAGGAGTGAACTGCAGGATGTGAAAAATCATTCATCTTTGTCTTGGAATTCTTTGGAGATAAATTTTGAAGCTGAAGCCACAGCTGTGTTTCAGCTGCGCTGATTTCAGCTGTGTTGTTGCTGTCCCGGCTGCCACTTCCTGTTTCAGCATGGCGGGTCGGATGACAGCATCAATGAGCTCGAGAGGCGTCAAGCCGCCATACGTACCATTCGCCTCCGTTTTCACAGTCGCGTCAGTGAAAAACCCAATAGCGAAGGCCCCCGACCTAATAGCGTTTCTATTCCTAGTATGGAAGGAAGAACGGGGTTTGGATAAACTGAAATCCTGCCTCCAAGGAGTTGAAATCCACACATGGAGTCTCACCATACTTGCAAACATCTGAGAACCTCGCAAAGCGATTTGCACAAAGCGGTTTAAAATTGCAATCTCGATCAATTGCGGAACACGCAATTCAAGAATTCCTCCCGAGAGGCGATACGTCAATGGCTGCAGCTTCAACGCTTGTCACACTGCTCCCGTAAAGCTTAGTCAGCTGCTGCAAAGCAGACATAACCTTGGTGTCCGATTGTCCGGTCAAATCTGCTTGCTGCTTAAAGACAACGCACAAATGTGAGCACGCCAGGCGAATCTTCTTTGGAGAAAGCGGCATTAACGACCCTGGAAGGGTCAACACCAGCCTGCTCCCAGCTTTTCCACAAAACCAGTGACTGCACAGCATTGTCCTGAGTCACCGAGAACTACCACCGTATCTTTGTAAAAACTTTTGAAACATGCGCTACACGGAGAGTCTCACATCATGTAGATACACTTCATGTCGATGTCGGAACATGTAAAATTGCAATTGAATGCAATAATTGATATATCAATATACTTAAATGATTGTATCCAAGTTCGCAGACTGGACATTCTTCACACTGATACTGGAAATCCGAGATCTTGTTCAACCAGGCTACTGAATCCCAACCAGGAGCCAAGCCGGCTCGGCAGCAAGAGCGGTACTCGACGTAGATTCGGAGATTGCTGTCAAGAGTTTGATTCACCAAGAGCGCCTCAACGTCAACAAGATTTTAGAGGCACTTCTTTCAAAAGGAGAAATAGAGAGGCCAACAAAAAGAGAGGGGAAAAAGGTGCTTTGCAATCTTTTGCCTCTTCACTAAGGGTCCTTATCTCGCTGGCCCTGTGGCCCTCATCCCTTCCTTCGGAATCCATTGGAATCCTTTCGACAGATCTTATTTAGTAAAGAATCTCAAAAAGAGTTGCAGTCTCATCGAATCTTGTCGACAGGTGACGAAGGCCATCGCGTAAGGGTCCACACTGTCGCTCTCTGTCTCAGCTGCCTCGCTACAATGAACACGGTGTTTCAGTCCGCTTATTAAACAGATTTCATGGCATGTATAGGTTGGAGGCCATCGCTCTTCGGTTGGAGGCTATCGCTCTTGGGTTGGAGGCCATCGCTCTTCGGTTGCAGGCTATCGCTCTTGGGTTGGAGGCCATCGCTCTTGAGTTGGAGGCCATCGCTTTTGAATTGGAGGCCATCCCTCTTCGGTTGGAGGACATCCCTCTTCGGTTGGAGGCTATCGCTCTTGGGTTGGAGGCCATCGCTATTAGGTTGGAGGCCATCGCTCTTGGGTTGGAGGCTATCGCTCTTGGGTTGGAGGCTATCGCTCTTGGGTTGGAGGCCATCGCTCTTGGGTTGGAGGCCATCACTCTTTGGTTGGAGGCTATCGCTCTTGGGTTGGAGGCCATCGCTAGTAGGCTGGAGGCTATCGGCTATCGCTCTTGGGTTGGAGGCAATCGCACTTTTGGGTTGGAGGTCATCGCTCTTCGGTTGGAGGCTATCGCTCTTGGGTTGGAGGCCATCGCTCTTGGGTTGCAGGCCATCGCTCTTCGGTTGGAGGCCATCGCTCTTGGGTTGGAGGCT